ATAAAATATTCCTTAACAACAGTTTTAACCTGACATTGCTCGCAGTAGTATAAGTATTGTCTAACACAACATCCAGACCTTCTCTTCCAAGCTAGCGATGGAGTCGAAGGTGTCTTCAGAGCCAAACAGGAGAGCGTTCTTCCTGCCTTTCTCTTCCTCCTCCTCCTCTTGTCCTCTTGCTCTCTTCAACTCTTCTTGACGATCAGTATCCAGCTCTCCAATGTTGTCCTGGTGAAAAACACAAGCACATTTCAAGACGCACTCAAATGATTATGTACTTCTGAGCTCAGAGGCATGAGCAGCCATACAGATGATTTACACAGGAAAACATACATATCAAGGTTTGTTGATGTGATGATATGTATCCTTTTATTTCAAGTAAATCTTAGGTGTAAGATCTTTGGAACAAAATTATTTTCCTTTGGGTATTCTGCTGGTATTCGTGATGTTTTTGTGAGTGCTGCTTTTTCTGTTCAGGCATTGCGGTTGTTGCTGGAGTGTCATGTGACCCGTGGCCAAGTCATGAGTCTTTTAAAAAACAGCCGCAGGCGTACACGTGTGCACACACAAGCTCAATCATGCAGTACCTCAAGCAGCTTCTTAGCATCCTGCAGGAGGTTGAGGCAGTATTTGATCCAACATCTCGCAATATCTGCTCTCTTTTGTCTGAGGTGCTCCCTACACTCACTCTCTGTCTCACCTGTGTCAGACAGAAGGAGTGAGAGATGTTAGAATGAGCCAGGAGAGAGAGGGAAGGAATGCTATATGTGAACAGTGGCAAGGAAAAGTAAGTCAGGCTTTTGAAATGACCTACTTATGTATAAATAGGTCTTCAAATATGGTCTGATGTTCCTTTAAGATACACGTTTGAACGAACACAACAAACCTCAAACTAATATCACACAAATCAGTGTTTTGTTTGAAAATTCATTTGTGTGTTAGAGCAACTTCCACATCTAGAAACACTCAAACATCTTGCTGGGGTGGACTGTGCCTCACAGGAAAGAGAATTGTTGATTTTCATGAAGCTGGAAATTGTCACCATACAGATACAAGATATTCAACAGTACAAATAAATGTTCTGTAAACTGAGCTGAGCTAAACTGGCTTCAAAGGCTTTCATCACAGTTGTGTTATCAGTCCTGAAAAACAATGTCCTTATTTTGGTATTTATATTCTTTAAAAATGTGAATACTTACTTTCCTGTGCTGCAGCCTCAGAAGGAACCTCTCCTGCCAAACCTGATATGACAGTAGCTGCTGAGAGGCAATGCCTGCCTTCCATGTAGTGGCCCTTAAAAAATACACATACACACACACACACACACTGTAAAACTGAACCACAAAGACACTCTAACTTTTTCCCATGTGGTGGAAACTATGACATTCAAATCAAACCAGTGGAACATTCTGGCTCATATCATGCAAAAGTCTTTAATGTGTTAAATTTGAAAGGAATTGTTTTTAATCTAGAAAAATAAATCTTACCTTAATGATGTAATACTGTGATAGTGAAGCAGCGTTCAGGGCCCACTCCATTGGACTGAACTCATTTAACTTTAACTGTCTCTGCAGGGTGCTGTGACAATAGGTGGCTGCTCGCTCATTTTGACCTGAAAAAGAAAATATGCAAGAGATTATAACTATCTAAATAAATGATATGTCTTATCATAACATCAGTCCACTTCATTTTATACACATAGAAAAATATGAATCCATAAATCTTGATAAACTCTTCAACAACCAGTGGATGCTGATGGAGATTCTTGAGTTTCTATATCATTTAAGGATTAGAGCAAAACATTAAATACATACTGTTCTGTATATTTGACACAAACTAAATCCTACTCACCTAGGTTTTTATAGACTTGAGCAAGGTAGTACATGGTATGAGTGTAGGCCAGCTCAAACCTGGTATAAGATGGAGAGAAGGGAAAGTAAAGTAACAACATTATTATAACTATAGGCAGGTAAGATCTGTGTGCACATGTCTCTGTGTGGATACTGGAGGTTACAGTTTACCTCTTGGTTCTTTCCTGATGTGTCAGCAGGTTCTCCTCAGTAGCGAAGTACTCCGTCATGTCAGTGGGGGGGCTGCCGTCCTGAAAGACAAGAAAACACAACAAAGCATGGCAGCTGATGAAGAGGAGTTGGCCAATGTTTGCCTATCAGTCAATACATCATTTAAATGACAAGAGCGAGTGAAACACACTCAGGACTAACACTTATGGGCTGCATGCAAAATTGCTCCATTTTGGCTACCGAGAGAACATTTCATCTATAAAAGGTGCAGAGTAAGTAACATGAACACAACGTTTACATCTAAAACACAACAACAACAGACAGGTGAATGATTTGACACTGGGGAGACCAATGAACAATGATTTATAAATATGTGAAACTCCCGTCCTGTCTTCTAGTCACGAGATCAACTTTACCTCCTTCATATATCGAAGGTAGATGGATTCTGCCGTTTCCAGGAATCCCTGAGCTGTCTCCGTCTCGTCCCGGCCGGCCCACAAGATGCCCAGCTGGTTCTGATGACACAAACAAACAGCACAACTGATCAATATCCTCTGATCAACTGATCTATTACTACTACTGTGATCTGGTTTTGAGAGGAATCTTCAATTAACAATATGATGGCTTAGCTGTGATTCTAGTAGCTATATATATATATATATATATGAATATAAAAATAATCCTAGTGATGTTTTCACTAGTGTGTAATTATCTAGATTGTAGGAATTGTTGTTTTCTTTACCCTAGAATGGCCTCTTTATGTTTACTTCATATTTACATCAGGAGCGGGTCCTCTCTGTCTAGCCCAAACTACACAACTTTTGAGTTTCAAAGAAAACTGGAGGCTAACACAGGTTCTTCTTCATGTTTGGAGGTTGAAATGTATTCAGCTGCAACATGCAACTCCACCACTAGATGTCACAAATTTCTACACACTGAACCTTTAAGTTATCAATAAGCTAGCGGCTAATGGTTATGGCGACTAAGGTTGATGTGGGAGCTGGGCAGCCATCGTCATCAGTCATTTAGCAGGATAACACAACTGTTGGTGTCTGAAGTGTTTCTCTGAAAGCTCCAGAAAAGTCAACCTGCAACTGGACATGAACAGTGATGCTGATGTCATGTCTGTATTGTTCTGATCTTCTTTAAAACATTATTATTATTTAGCTAGAACATCTGCTGCTGAGCTGATGGGCAGTTTTCTTTGATGCATGTTGAAGTGAACATTACCCGGACGTTGATAAACAGCGACACATTGTCGGACGACACTCCGCATCTGTCCAGCAGCTTCAGGCAGTTCATCAGATGCTCCTGTCCGGCTGACAGCTCCTCCGTGTCGACGTGGTTGACGCCCAGGTAGTACTCCACCGCTCCGAGCTTAGCGGCCCGCAGCCCCGCCGGAGAGTCGCCGGAGAGCTGCCGCTGACCGAACCCATCCTCCCTCTGCCCGTCCACCGGCTGCTCTGCCGGCCGCTGCTCGCCACCGTCCTCCTCCTCCTCCTCCTCCTCCTGGTCCTCACCGTCACCGGCTTCGAAACACTTGAGCGCAGAGTAGATCTCTCTGAGCAGCTCCCTGGCCTTGTACTTGGAGCGGAACGGGTCGTTCTCTGGGTCTTTTCGGGATTCTACCTCCGTCAGGTTTTGGGCGTTGGTGAATCTGTCGCAGATCGCTCTCCACTCGTCGCTGCGCAGAGACGCCATGTTGCTCCTCTTCTTCTGTGGCGCTGGGCTGCGACTGGATCGGTGTTGTGTACAGTCTGTGGTTATTGTCTCACTACTGCCACCTGCTGAGCAAGCTCAACCTTTAATATACATAGTTGATTTCTTTGTTCTCACTTCTCTTTCGATAAGGAGGAAAATCTCACTTTTCTACAACACAGGAGCTTTGAGGAAACCATCTGAATCACCCTTGGTTGGAGTAATGTCACTCGGTTCCATTTTTGTTTAACATTAAATGAGAAAATGGTAGTTAACACGTTTAAAATACTTCAGTCTCAGGTGTAAACTTTGAAGCAGCCGAATCCAATACAATTAGTCTAAAAACACTGTGTACATGAACATGTTTCCAGTCCAATATGAATGTTGGGGCTTGGCACTTGGATGACACCCCACAAGCAGTAAGGAGGCACATTATGTTTTTTCCGTCTGAATTCTTGGTCACCACTTAATTGGTATCGGATTTGGCTGCTACAAAGTTCTCTTCTGACACTCCAGAAGGGTTTTGGGGACTCAAACACTTCACCCACCCCTACATCGGCAAATTGGTGAGTAGATATTGAGTGAAGTTTAATTTGGGGGTGAACTATCCCTTTAATCACCAACCATTAAGCGCAAGGAAACCCACATTCATTTCCGGTTAGTTTGATATTTACTTCTAACTTTGTTCAAAGATGTTTAAATATAAATTGAAAGAATTACATGCAGGCTAAGATTACAGAGGGAAGTGTTTATAGAGGTGGAACTTAACTGCAGCATAAGGTGGTCTGAAAAATGTGATTTGTAAAATCAGAATCAGAAATACTTTATTAATCCCCTGAGGGAAATTCCAAAATTCACATATGGACACTTGTATTTATATTGGACTGGATGAGTATGTCTATGTAAGGGGAACTGATATATAACCACTGTGTATTTTTGTGTTATTTATGGTGTTTATGTTCAGGGTTGTTGATTTATATATATTGACTTTAATACATATCTTTATGTCTAATTGTTTGGATATAAAAGATCACATGAATGTTGTACTCTCTCTTGTAAAGGAATGTGTAAACCTAAATTGTAAATATTTGATGTGGAAGGGATCCTAGAAATAACCAAATAAAGATTAAGGTTCACGTTCAGTGTTAATTAAACCAGGCATTAGGTTGCAAAATTACACAACGCCCCCATTATGTCATCATTGAGTAACAACCATCATGGAGCACACAAACAAGAATGACAAAAGTCCAACGTCAGAAAAACAGTCATCAAAGCTGTGAATTGTGTTCAAGTTGGTTAAAGCCAGTTTATTTAACAAACCCAGAGAATCAAATTGTGAATCAGGAAAAGATAATGGGACGTGTACAATTACAATAAATTAATGTAGATTAAACATTATAACTACATATGGTACATTTAGTCAGCACTGACAGACGCAGCTTGTCTTTCCCAGTCATGTAGGATTATAATTGGATCCCAGCCTAATGATATAGATTTACAGTGTGGGGGTAAGTGCACCACATTAAGACACAAACATTTTTGTTTTTATAAATTTAAATCATTATTTATCATACAGCAGTAAAACATGTCCAATCCGACCCGCAAATATTGTTTTCAATGTACAGCAACAGTGTCTTTCTCCTGTGTGTGTGTGTGTATGTGTATTTGTGTGTGTGTGTAAAGGTTCATGAATGAAGTCCATATACTGAACTGAACTATGGTTAAATTCTCTATAAAATATGATGACATATTAATTACTGATTAAAATGTTATAGTTGAGCATAATGATTGTTTTAGCCTCGTTCTAAAGTGTCAGTGGATCAGTGGATTCTCTGTGAAAAGCATCTAGTAACCATCAGGCTGGTTAGCTTGGTGTACATTCACCTACATTATATTTTTGTGCGTCATGTTGATGTATGAAAACACTTTTAAAACAAATCACAGCAGTTGACCTTAAATCATTGAGGCAAGCATTTGCTTTTTTTCTGTACGTATCGTAAAAAGTGACTAAAACTTCACGAGGATGATCAGTCTTGGTAATTTCATGGTGTAAGTGCCACGGTTCAAATGATTCGGTAAAATGTTGATGGTTTAGGAGGCTGTTGTAACAGCATGGTACCGTGAAGTGGATCCTCTCCATCTGCTTCACTCTGTCACTGAGTTTGCGTCTTCTTCTTCTCCATGCTGAAATAATGCAGAGACAGTCAGAGTGCATATGATCATAAACTCATCACCTACATTTCAAGGGTAATGTCACTTATTTTCAGCTTAGGTCGCCTGATCAGCCACAAGTACAACCTCATGGACATTTGCTGAAGTGTCGTGCAGATGTCAGGTGGCATAGTAAATAACAGGATGGGAATTTTCTGTAGGCAACTTATTAAAGACTGAAGACGAGGGATACTCCGACTGATTGGATGCTGATCATTATCAGCCAGTAATCAGGTGATCGGTATTTGTGCTTTCAAATTTAATCACCTCATCTTGCTCGTTTCTCCTTCACTGGCCAAGAACTGCAAGTGTTAATTTGTGCTTGCAACACGGAGTGAAAACAAAACAAAAAGGTGTCAGTAGTGCGGAACTTTTCAAAGTATACGACACCGATATGAGGAAAATATAAAACACCAGGAAAATATATCTTGTGGGGGAAGCCAGGTGAGAAAATTCAACACAAATCTTTTTATAAACCCCTAAAGAGACGGTTCACTGAAAAATGAAAATTCACTCATTATCTACTCACCACTATGCCGATGGAGGGGTGGATGAAGTGTTTGAGTCCACAAAACTGTTTTGAAGTCTCAGGGGTAAACAGTGTTTCGTGAACTCAAACACTTCACCCACCCCTCCATCGGCATAGTGGTGAGTTATCACTGTAAAGATGCATCACCTGGCAGAGCACGGCATGTGGTGGCATAATCTAGCAGTCAACTTGACTGCTATACAAGCTGCTATAACAATACAAACAAAAGAACGATTGCCAGGATCTGCAATGTATTGGCAAATAAAAAACATGGTCAAAGCGTCCCTACTGTAGAACATGACATCCTGTACATCCTCCACATTTGAGTGAACGTGGATGAAAAAATGTATAAATGTATGAATCCCCTTGTCCACAATGACCAAGAAATTACGGACTGAAGTGAGACTAACTTGTATTTGATGAGACGACTGCCCTGGATTAGCTGTGCAGACTCATTGGTCAAATGGCACGCAAACAGCAGCCAGTTGCGTGGCTGCACCTTGTAGGCGAACCTCATGAAGAGCAGTGAATAACAGGACAGAGCTGAGAGGGGGGGAAACACAAAAGACCTTTATTAAACATAATGTATAGCTCACAACAAATCCTGGACACTTCTTACGCCTGCTTAAATATATAAAATACACAATGATGTGGGTATTTTGTGCCATGCATTTGTACTGTTGTGTTTATCTGTATATCTGTCTGTTTGTCTTACCGAATGTCATCCTGCCACTGATGATCTCAGGGCTCTTCTTCATATCCGTGATGGCAGCTATGGGAAGACCCCAGTTTGCTACAGGACCCCAGAAATGCTGAATTCACACACACACAGACAAATTATATTACTAGATGTTTATCGTATACTTACAGCAGAACAGAATTACAGGATAATTAAGTGAACTCTAAACAGTTATCACCACATTGTGAATTTAAAATATGTGATAGAAAAGATAAGTAGAGGATTTGAAAATGCTACACGGTGCACTCATATTGAAAGTTATGACTATAAAGTCAAAATAGGATGGTAGACAGATAAACCACACTGACAGACAGATGGAAGGACACCAAGGATGAGTGCTTACCGTGCTGTTGAATGTTATTTTAATCCAGGGTCACATGGAAGAGAAAAGAAAAACACAGATAAGTCATACTGAAATGATCATCCCTGGGTGAAAAGATAATCTTCACATTCAGTGAGCAGGCAACTAATGCCTGATGGATATATCAGCAGATATGAGCCTTTCACAGACATATTGGTGTCGGAGTGTTTGCCCATGTGTGAATCAGATATAAAACTTTTAT